TTGTAAGTGGTTAATGTACCATTTCGAGATATACTAATGGGTCTTTGCTCGGTGTTTGCGACGTAACAGCAGTTTCAATATTGGTGTAAATTGGTAGGTCACAGCAAACTTGCAGCTAGTAGTATAGGTATATCATAAGGTTAATTTATCTTTTCAAGTAGAAATGGTATTAGGTCGTCCCACAGCTTCCTGTAGAAAGTGAAAAATATTTTTTTACAGCGATGACATAATCGTCTTACCAAAAAAATAGGAAAAATTTACGAAACCAGAAGAAAACGCTTATGTTTGCTTCCGTAAAATTTAAAGATTTGTTACAAATATTGACCAAAATCATAAAATTCGACACGAACTTACGAGATGACCTAATTTACATCAGAGTTTCTATCGTAAAATTTCATTTCTGTTATGAGAAAAATCTATTTTGCAAAAATAATTAACAAAAGTGATTACATATACAAGATACGTTTCTCTTTGTATACGCAACACAGTTTAATAAAGTGTAATATTTGTCAACTCACTTCCAACAATTCCTCGATTCGTTGAAGTACATATGTAACACTGAATCGACGTTAGAGAGTTTGCACGGTGTATCAACGCGTATCGATAAAATGAAACGAAGGAGAAGAGTAATTGCTCCGATTAATCGAGGTTATTTAACAATTGGAGAAAGTTTACAAGCCGTAAAGATGTTAAAATTTTTTCATTCGCGTGTTTCGTGAAAAAGCTTTCAGCATTAGTTGGAATACTGAAAGCTTTTGGTATGTTATTAAAACTTTTAATTAAATAACAGTTACAGGTTTGTGATTCATGTTTTGTCGTTAGTTACCTAAACAGACTGCCTCGTGTTTGTTTCTTATTTTTTAATACGTGTTAAAATGCAGGGATGGATAATGACGCGATTGGACAAGTCGATGTATTTCCACCCTTGGACAGTATTTCCTACTGTATGCGGCGTATTGTAACTTTACGACACGTCAATCACTGGTTGATATGGAAATGCAGGGTTTCTGCGTCCGTAATGTAATTACTTAGGTTTTGATTTGTGACGTGTACGAGAAAATAAAGAATAAAAATGTGGAAAATAGCTGCGTCACGATTCGTATACATTTAGCATGATTTAATAGCCTCAACAGTGTTAAAAAATGTGGAAATTAAAAACATTTGCAAATGAAGGAATACAATGGTTGCATTTGGAAATGAAAGTATTGAAATTAAAATTAAAATTCGCGTATATGTTACGATAAAATAATGTAACATGCTTCATAACGAAAGATTCGTTTTTTATTCTGTTGTGAAGATGCAGAAAATTCGTGTGTCGAACGTTAATTGAAATAGCTTTTCATGCGAGCGCTCGTTATGTGCATATCCCCCGAATGTTCGGACGAACTTTACAGCCACGAACGTTCTTCCTTTATGCAATTAGCCGTTGAAAGGATTATATCATTCATGGAACTTCGATCGTAAGATACTCGAATCGCTTCAGATTTTCTGCTACACCCTTATTGCAGTTAGGGTGTTCCATACAATGTACGAGCAATTCCATCTTGAAACGCATAAAATTGTCCTCACAGTCGATCATTTTTTTTTTCAGAACTCGCAGGATTTGTTGGCAATCTCGAGAAATTAAACTGTGTAAAATTTCAGCTTCCCTTTCTTCGGTAAGGCCAACTTCTAAAAGGAAAATTGTGTTCTCGTGTTATCTTGTTTCGATGCTGTTGAAATATTTAAAGGATTGTTACGTAAGATAAAGCAGAGGAATTACGCAAGATAGATAGAAAGATGCATTATGTAGATGGTTCGTGTCTAGATTTGCTAATTTATTTGTTATAGTAAAATATCGTCTCGTGAAAGGTGTCTTTGGAAGAAAATTTAAATCGAGCATTAGGTGCTCAATTTAATTCGAGAAAAATGATTTATTAACTGAAAATCGTCGCATTTCTTCAGAGAGGGAATTTGTCGGTGTACTTGATAAATGGAAAAAGGTCATCGAAACTAATGGAAATTATTATGAACATTAAAATTGTTTGAATTTTTTTACGAATGAACATAGAAGCTTAAAATTTTTTGAAGAAAGGTACCGAATTAATTTGTACACCTAATGAGTTTTGATATATTTAGGGAAATTTCATGTATGAAAATATTCTTTTTTCTTTTTATTATCCTCGTTTATTTGCTGTTTGTTACAAAATGACGGTAAACAAATGATTTAAGTATAGTAACATGAACAATCGTGAATTATTATAGATTTTGCCAATCGGCTTATATCTTCTAATAAAAATATAAAGCATAAGAAATA